GGGTTAGATTACTTTTTTACTCTCACTATAAGCTACATAGTGAAGTAGAATAAACCCACATCAACTTACATATAAAATACCTAAACAATATCACTTAGGGATAAAACCTTACCAAATGTCACAGGAATCGCAAGCAATAGAAGTATCAAGATTAGATTCTTCCTCAATATTTGCTGATCCACTTCGAATCTTGCAGCCATCTCCATCCAAGCAGATAACTGCCTACAAAATGATAAAGTACATAAGAATTATATCATGATAACCGATGACATGTGAATTTGAGTTGTATAGAATAAAAACTCCAATTATAAGAAATTTTGTCTTGGTTCCTGAAATATCACTGAAATTCCCAAGAAATTTTTGTACACAAATGCATTGAAGTGTTCAGATTCCGTTCATGCTAGGCATTGGCCCCCTCCATATGCTGATTTGCTATGAACTAAGATGGAGAACGTCTAGCCAACTGCTAGAAATATTAATTTAACAATTTTATAATGGATGTCTTATTTGGTCATGATTATGTATAATCATTTTGCGGATAGCATCTTAATCTGGAAACAAAACTCTGGTCCTTGAGCAGAAACTATTTCCAGATGAATGTGACAATTTGTGAAGTCTAATGGCTTGAACCAACAACATAACTAGTTTGTATATATCTAATGCTCCCAGCTTAGAGCATCAACATCTTATGTGAAAATAAAATTTGTAAATTTGCTGGCATGGCAAAGTTTTAACAAACAAATGTGATTATATTACTAACCCTGACTGAGAAAGTCACTGTGTATAAACTAGCTCACAAGTTCATAAGTCTCAAAGAGGTTCAGACTTCAAACCAGTAATCAGCTCTAAAACCTCAAAATGATAACAAATAGAAGATAATTACATTTTCATCAATATAGTATGATGGAAAGGAGAGAGTATTGTTCTTCCCTTCAATAGACCAATCATCATCTCTGCAGCATAGATAATGGAAACATGTATCAATCACTGCTGAAAAACCTAAACAGAAGCATATCCTCAGGTCTCAATTGCTACTAAATATTACCCAGATTATTCAATATTGGCATTGAATCACAAAATAAAAAATGAAAAGCTAAAGAGTGATATCATGCTAAGTCAGTAACTTGCATACTTATATTTGTATAATATTTGGAATGTTAATAAACACAGAATAATAGATAATATGATGGATCAAGGATCTTAAACATTATAGTCAAAATAGCTTTGTCAATCTGAGAAAACTCTTTCAGTGGTCCAAGCTAATCTCCAATGTGAAGGCCTTCATGTGGATTTGCTAGTACTTCAAGTAGAGAGATCAATAACCAGTATTAAGATCCGATAGACAAAATATGAAGCTAACTTAATGTTGTAATTCCGCAACAACAGTGCTGCTGCCCCTGAATTTGAAAAATTATAGTTGATCGATTGATAAGAAAAGTAGACACCTAAGTTTGAGCATGCACTGTCAGTAAATACCAGACATGCAAAAACAGAGCCTATCCCAATCAGAAAGAATTATCAACAACAAATAAAGCACAAACTACTACTGCTACCTGGAAAGTGAGTCCTCATCAACTTTGTTGTTTCCAATGGTATCATATACCTTCATAAGCAAACGGAAACTGTCACACATCAGATTGCACAAAGTTTGGATATAGATAGTTTCAAGAAAATTCTAGATCAGAGTAGCCTAGCATAAGAAACAAAAGATGGATATACACCATGACTAAAGTTCTCAAATCATTTGAACAACAACAAAAGTTACTGTAAAATGAGGGAAAAAAAGAAGGCAATGCTTCAAAAATCATCCATCACTCACCGGAACACATGTAATAAACTGAAATTCATTCTGACAAAGTGGACAAAGGTTTGTGATTGTAGACCAATTGTCGATACAACCAAAACAAAACCTGAAAAATTCCCAAAACAAACCCAAGTCATCATCTGAATGCATTCATTCCTTGAAAAAACATAATCTAATCAAAATTCAAAACTTTCACATATCCCTAGGAGGATCACTCCAAGCATTAACAAAACAACACATACCAGTGCTGGCAGCAATCAAGAACGCCCCGGTCAATAATAATATCCATGCATATCCCACATCTTTCTCCCTCAAAATTATAATTATCCTGCAAATTAAAAAACGTAAACGATAAATAAGTCATTAACTAATATAAAAAATAAAATAAAATCACAAGCAGCAAATTTGAACTAAAAATTAGAGCTAATTCGTGGTTCTAAACAAAAATTTCAGTTCCCAAACTATAAAATTCAAAAAAAAAAAAAAAACCCAAGAAAAAATGCAAAAAACTCGAAAATTAAATAAAGTAGCGAATTAAAATGAATTGAAACTTACATGAACAGTCTCGTCAACTTCAAGAGGCAATTCTTCTTCTAATATTCCACTTGTGACAAAATCCACCTCCATTATCATAATGATCTCGATAATAATAAATAAATCTAAAGAAACAACCAAAAATTGAAAAAATTAAACGCGATTAGATTATCGTAACACCAATAATAAGGTACTGAAAGATGAATTAATTGATTAGAAAGAATTAATTTGAAGATCAGTAAGTAAAAATGATTTGAAAGGGAAAAAAGGGAAAATTGGAGAGGAGTGATCACCTCTGAGTGAGGATTAGCTGTAACTGAGAGAAAGCGCCATTCAAGAAGGAGAAGAGGAGAGAAAGAGTAGAAGATTACTATATTTGATCGTGATCGGTATTATTTTTTTTTGCAGGTTTTGCAGAAGTGAATTTCTAAAAACGTTTTGTTCCGTTGGGCCTAAAACTAGCTATTCTATGTTGGGCCTAAAATTCCAAAGTGAGAGTTTTGAGGCCCAAAATCAGAAAGCGGATTGTGTTGTAAGAGCCCTAAAGAAACTTGATTCTGCAATCGATTTGACCGTATAAATAAATCAAAACTGATGGGAAATTACAATTGGATTTTTTTATTAAAAAAAAGTTGCTTTATGATTTCTTCGAGTGAATTACTATTATAACAATCGGGAACGCAGCTCATTAGAAAGAAGATTCAATAATTTATTCAGATTTAGATTCATTTACTTTTTTATTTTTATTTTAGAACTGATTCAATTGAAAATTGATTGCTTGGAGTTTTAGATTATTTTCAATTAGAAAAGAAAAAAAGAAAAGAAAATTAAGGTTTGGGTTTTTTAAAAGAGTGATTTGAGGAATAACTCCTTTTCTTTTAAATTCTAATGGCGGTCAATAGATTCTTTCGGCCCACTAAGATTAGCCAGTGGATTACATAGCGCAAGCGCTCATTGAAAATACTCCCTCGGTCCAGTTTTAGTGTCTGTTTACCCATCCATTTCGTTGACCCAGACGCTCATTGCAAATACTCCCTCCCCCACATAAAATTAGAATCACTACCTTTTTTTTTAACTCGGCGGTTACTTTGGTTGTACCTTTTATTTTAAAGACATATTCAAATGATAAAAGGATTTACTCTTAAATATTAATATTTTTGGATTCAAGAAAAAAAAAGACAGCGAAAAGATTATTTTATATGTGGATATAAATTGCCCATTTCAAAGAGAATAAATCGCAGGAAGGATTTGGTCGCCGTATTCATACCATGATTGGCCGTACAGGATCTTTGATGCATGTCATAGGGTGACAACAGAAACACAAGTTGAATATGGTGCCATGTTCTCTCTTTTTTTTTTTTTTCAATAAAGAAAGAAAATTATTATTGTTTAAAAATGGAGCAAACTGGAAAGTTGGAGCAAGTGGGGATGACATTAATTAATATTAAGCACAATAGCAGCACAAATGAATATAACCAGGAAAAAAATAGAAGAAACAAGAGTTTTTATGAATGGAGACAGTGAAATTCTCGACACTTTTTTGTTTTAGAAGAAAGAATACTATCTCCCCAGGTAAAGATATCCAGCTCTTTGTACGGTGGTTTCTTTTCTCTTTGTTGGATGCTGCCTGTGTGTGGTATATAAATGAAAGATGAATTTTGAGAGCAAAATGATCTCAAGTTTGGCTCTTTTTATTGAGCTTCGTTGATGTTTTTGCAGTAGAAATTTAACTTAGAAAAAGCATTACCTTCAGTGTTTTGTAAGGATGGAACAGTTGTAGCCTTGTAGGAGGATAAAGCAACTTTTTTTATTTACTTTCTCCTTTTTTATTTGGGTCCTACACCTGTATCTGCAACGCCGATAGGATCATCCAATTTTGCCATGATAAACTCCCGTTTTGTATGTGGGTTTCTTTTTTTGGGAAGTCTAGGGCTTCAAGTGATGATGGGCTTGACAAATTTAAAAGGAATTGATACCCATTAGGCCATTATTGGCAACAGGGTGCTTTGTGTTTTGACTGTTGGAAGTGTGATAAGAGTTGATCTTGATGGTTGATCTATCGCTCGACTTTTATTTGTTGGTAATTTATATCTGTTGTCCTTAATGCTTCTGAAACTGGAAACCTGGATTTGCTGCATGCGAACATCAGCGAAAGAAAACATGTTGAATTGATAAAACACACACACACACAATATATATATATATATATATATATATATATAGATGCTTAACTGTGAGTCAAAAGTAATTAGAATTTTTCGTGCTGATATCGAATGATAGCAAAGCCTGTGCAAGTCATGGATAAATTAATTGAAAAAAAGATTACAATGCCCTTAAGATCATATCATCCAATCTGATGCTATTGTACAACAAAAGGAAGTGATGTTTTATTTTTGGAGGTTTTGCCATGCATCCTTATGTTAGAAACCTATGTTCCAGCCAAAAGCACCAGAAATTACCCCATTTAAACTAAAAAGATAGTCTTATTGATTCATCTTTGGTTTTGATGTGGCAGGAATTATAAAATCTGGATTTGCTGCATTTATTAAATAACTCCTTGGAGTTCGATTGCAATTAATTGTACATCAGAATTATGCGTGCTTTTAAAGGCTGCTTTTGCTCGACAAAAACCAGTAAACTGCTAGGGGATGAGAATCCTGTCATGCTTGCTTCTGAGACGCCGTGTAAGTAGATTATTGAATATTGCACAGAATATTGAAATCCCTTGGTTAAATACTGAATATTGCATCTATCCTTGCACAGAATAGCAGGGCAATTAAGAAGACAGTGGTTAACTAGACACAATCTTGCTCATTCCGTATCACACATTCCATTCTCTATTTTTTCTGCACTTGTGTGGAATGGTTGCAGCATGCTTTCCGTGTTGTCAATGTCTTTTCTTTCTTCCTTTCTAGCCCATTGAATGCATTCTTTTTGGTACATGCTATGGTTGTTTTGGCATGGCAGAACCACATTATCCTGCCACCATCAAGTAACCATGCAATACTCACCTAGTTGAACACATTTATGTGGCTGGAGTTTTTTTCATACATTTAATTACCAGGTGTAGGATGTTATGATAGATCATTATAATCTGTCAACTTACATGTCTAAATGTTTGATATTTTTAATGATGTGACAGTTACTGTCAACGAAATAGAAGCTCTGCATGATCTATTCAAGAAGATAAGCAGTACCATAGTTGATGATGGTCTTATTCACAAGGTGTCTGCATTCAGTTCATTAAGATGCGACTTTTTCTTGATGTTGAGATAATTTTAGTTGTTTTACTTGCACTTCAATGGCTATGTTTAATCAAGCTGAAGATTAATCACAGAGGACTTTTTAGCTTGTTAATTGAATTGTGAAAGATCTTTATAGTACGTGCTAATTTATCTGTCGTTTGTTACAGGAAGAATTTCAACTTGCACTTTTCAGTAATAGCAGTAAGCAGAATCTTTTCTCTGACAGGGTGCGAACTCTTACATTTCATATTTCTCAATACTGTGTTTTAGTTTTCCACTTTGTAATCCTTTGCTGATCTGCTGTGTTCTCATTGCATTATGTGATATACTGGACCCTTAATTTTAATTAATTATATATGATGTAGACAATCAGAGAGCTGCTTCAGTAATACCGACATCCTAGAGCATTCAATTTCTGATAATTTTGTAAATGTTGCATTTTTATGAGAGCGAGTCAGAAATCCTAGTCGTTGAAGAGTTCATATGGCCTCATAAGAATGGACTATAGAGTGCAATCTATAAACTGATCTATTCTGGATTCATATTAGTTATATCATTATACTTCGTCTAGTTTTCAAGGCACAAATATTCATCAAGCAGATAATGTGTTGTGCGTATTGCAGGTATTTGATCTTTTTGATGTCAAGCATAACGGGGTAATTGAATTTGGAGAGTTTGTTCGGTCATTAAGTGTGTTCCATCCAAATGCTTCTGAAGCAGATAAAATTACATGTATGATATAGTATGGATTTCATCTTTTCTCTATGATTCTTGTTTCAATATGATATGCATTTTCTGTCTACAACATGTCCTTTTAGCCTTTAAACACAGGTATTGCCACTAAGCTGGAAAAACTCTTCTTTCAGTTGCTTTCAGATTGTATGATCTACGACAAACTGGCTATATTGAGCACGTTGAAGTAAGTACCCAGCAACTTTCCCCTTTCCCTCGCTAGCTTTTCAAGAGTATGATAAAATGTAATTTATCACCTGATCATTCAATTGATCAGTTGCTTATTCATGACCATTTATAATGATTAGTTCCAGTAAAGCACACATGGGAACTGGGAAGTAACATGAAAGCATCCTGGACATAATTTGTTAAATTTACAGGGCTCTACATGTCTAAATCTTGTTTTTGCTTATTTATATTTGTTTCTAATTTTCAACAATTTCACGGATTTCTCTCATGTTGGAAGCTGAAGGAGATGGTACAGGCTATCCTGAGTGAATTGGATTCTACACTTACTGATGTCACTGTTGAATCTATTGTGAACAAGGTGTCTAAATTTTCAACAATTGATGATTTTTCAAATTCCACTCAATTTCCTAGATATTAATCTCTGTAAATTATATTCATATAGACAATGATTGAAGCAGATTTAAATGGAGATGGCAGAATTGATCCAGAAGAGTGGAAGGTATTTGTAGCTAAGAACCCATCTCTCCTAAAGAACATGACTCTTCCATATCTAAAGTGAGTCCTCAAGATCTCTAAATCATCAGTTCAAGTTTTGTTCACCTGCTTCATACTATACCATTATATAATCTTGGATTTTAAGCTCCAATCGTCATTTCTCTTTTTCACCAACCACTTTTTGAGACTTTGAGTCTGAAAAGTTATGGATAGAATATCTTGACAGTGCTGAAGTACACATCTGGTTATCTCATGAAGAGTATATGTACAAATATTTTTCCTTTATTTTAAGCAACAGTCTTTTGTATAGTGGCAGGAACTTCCATATTTTGATTGCCTTTTGTTTTTACAATTCAAGTATAGTGATATAATTCTCTAAATTCACCTTTGTTTTCCATTTTTCAGGGAATTAACTCTAGCATTTCCCAGCTTTGTGCTCAATACTGAAGTGCCAGACTACAAATAACAGGATGGTATCAACTTCTACTCCGATAAGATGCCAAAAACATTGACATGGAGATGTGTGAAGAACCTAGGTTTCTATAGAGATGCCTTTTAACTGTACTGCATGCACAGTGGAATTGTAGTAGAAGTTTACCTTGTCTGCTACTTTTAACAACAAATTTTGGAGCTTGTCATAAACTTTTAATAAACAAATTGTAGTAAAGGTTTCTGGCATCGATCATTATACCTAACTATGTTGCTCCTAGGCTGGCAGCTTTTTTATTACCTTAAAGGAAAAGGAACCATCTTTTACTCTTTGACGGAAAGAAGATTTCTCAAGAATAAAGATTTAGCTGTATTCCAAGCCTTTGTAGAATGTAGATCCCCCACTTTATCTTATCTAGTCCCAAACTGGGACTTTTTTCAGACTTTGAGTCTGTAACCAGCTCAAGCTAGAGTAGCTTGTTTTTACAATGGATTCTATTCAGATTTTTCAGTTCTTTTTTTCAGTACTGAGCTCCAGTTCTTCAGCCTTCCTTGAGCTAATAGTCTGTTGATGGAACTTCACTGTTGCAGGGAGATGACAGCTGCATTTCCCAGTTTCGTACTGAGATCAGATACCGAAGACGATATTAACAAGTGATAACATAGATTATATTTCATCCGGTGATATACAAAATCTACTATCCATCAAGAAAGTATCTAAGTAATGTCACATCTATACAATTGTAAACCTACATTACACAATCTCAGCACTTCATCTATATGAATGCTCAAATCCACTGCAAACTATTCTTGTTGGTTCTTATCAGATTTTCCAGGACTAAGTACTTGATCAGTAGAACATGAAGTTCGACCAATATTAAACCTTCTGCGTCTGATTATTTGGTTTTTGGAGCAACCATATCTTCTAAGTTCATAGGGTAGCACATTTTTGTGTGCAAGCCATTCCAAACATTATCTGCCAAGATGGCATTCACTGCATCAGTTGGATGGTATTGATCCCACCAGATATGGTTGGTTGCATTGCTGCACGCAATTTCTGATGCAAGGCACATGATCCATCCCTTATACTTTCCTAACCCACAGCAAGCTTCATTAGTGACATTAAAACCTGAGTGAAAGCATCATAGAAATAAGAGCTGTGAATGCTATTAACATACATTGCAGCGACAAAACAGAGAAAAATGTTAGGCACTTTACCGTAGAGTTCATGGTTCTTAATTATATCCATTGAACCTTGATACATATCACAGAAGGTGATTTTGGCCTCAGGGAGTTCCAGACCTAGCTCTTCAATCGTATATCTCATTACAAAGTTGTACTCCAGAATCATGTCATTTATCTCCTGAATGCACTCCCCATTCTTGCTGTTGTACCTCCACAAATAGTAAGGAGCACAGCCAATAGGTGGTAGCCCCATGAGAATTACTTTTTTGGCATTCATATTGTACAAGTTCTGCTCCATAAACATAAACGAATTAGGAATATCTGATAAAAACAAAATCTTGAATTCAAAGTCTTTTTAAAGAGAATACGATCAAATTAACGTTACTCAATATATTAAGTACAAGTAGCCATCCTTGCATGAACACAACAAAATATGCAAAGTAGAAAAACTAGAAACATCACCTTTATTTCCTGCCTTATTGAAGCTGCAACGAACTGGTTGAAGCTCCATGGTAGGTACAGGTTTTGGATATTGGATACGTTACGCAAGTAGTAATGTATGTAGTCATTGACTCCAATAGAAACGTAGAAGACTGAGTTCGAGATGAGCTCATTTGTGGCAGTCTCACCCATATTCAAAATAAACGACTGTAAAGTATCCGTGAACTGCTGAATTTGCTGCGTGAAGGAGATTCGTTGACCCTGCAGCAAAATTACACGGTTGCTGATTAGTTGTAAGCATAACTGATCCTCTTAAAAATAAGGAGCTTACCAGTTCTGATCCACTTGAGAATATAACTCCAGCACCAGCAGATGCATAATTCACCCCTTTAATCATATCTTCAACAGTTCCCATCTGCCCAAGATAACTTGGTACAAAGGGAAGCCCAAGGCGCAATGCTGATCAAGTAAATGACAACAGATAAGAACTAATGAGGAAAAATTCTGGACCAGCCTTCTTTCTTTAAGAGAAATCTAAAGCAAGATACATAAACTACAGATTCCCAAAATCCATAACTGCCCCTGACAAAGAATTTCTAATCAGTATTGGGAAATTCAGTTTTAGCAACAAAAACATAAATCTGTTTGGTTGGCAAGAAAAGATGAAATTCAGGAATTAAGGCTCTTTTCACTAGTTCACTAACAGTGCCTAAGAATATTTTAGTAGCCTAAAGTAATTGATCGGAGAACACAAAGAATCCTAAATGACCAAATATCTCAGAATGTGAATCAGTTGACATCTCCATCCCTTGAAAATCAGTAAAATAAAAAGACAGATAAAATGCCCAATGTCCTCATTTTCTTGTTAATTTCCCTCACTTTCTTGGCAACCAAACAGAGGAGCAGTACACACAAGAAAGGAAATACACAAAACATCACCGAAACAAAAATAACCCAGATAAAAAACACTTAAAACCATCAAGGAATGCAAAACAAACATCTGAATCAAAGGATATTTCTTGAAAACCACTAAAAAAAGATATATACAAGCAAAATAATTAATCAAGACCCAAGATTTTTCACTTTTACTTGTGAAGATTAAAAACAGGAAAAAAAAAAAAAAGAGTATTTACCAAGATAATCAACCGGGATTCTTCCATTGCAAAACCTTCCAGTTGGCTTATGAGTATCAAAATCTCTACCGTAAGGACTATGGTCAGCACGAGCAAAAGTGCCAAGATAATTGTTGGTTCCACAATCAACAGAGGAGTCACCAAAAATAAAGAAAGCAGGCACTAGAGGAGGATTCACTGGTAAGTTTGTTGACGATGGAGAAGGAGAGATTGAAAAAGAAACTACTAAAGAAGAAGAAGGTGATACAGTGGGGGTGTCATAAGCAATGAGGTTTTGAGATAAGTTGTAGAGTTCTTGAGGAACTGCAATATTTGTTGAAAGCGTAAAGAAGGTGGATAAAAGAAGGAAAAGAAGAGGAAAAAGAAGATTGATCGGCATTGTTATGTTTCTTTCAATTCTCGATAGAGATCAAGAAAGAGTGATTCAATGGCGGGTAAAGAGAGAGAGAGGAGGGAATTTGAGTCAATGGAAAGTCCAAAACAACCTCATTTGTGACCCTTCAACTGGGCTCTTGAATTTATAATTTCAAAGCTTCTGGTTTTCTGATATAGGGCTGGATCTGCTAACCCAAATACTCTACATGGGCTCACACCTACATGGCCTCATTATTTTATTCTTTCTTTCTTACTATAAACGTTTATGTTAATTTAAATTTTGATTTAAACTCACGATCATTCAGAATATTTTCAACTCGTACCAGTTACCAAATATTCTTAACACTTCACTCTTGATTTTTTTTTTTTTTTAAACACCCCTTTCTCCTCCAAATTTTAAAGTCCATATACCAAACATAACTTACGATTAAGAGTATTGCAAAATTAAATTTACTATTAAAATTGGATTCCCATTTATACTTTGGATGAAAGAGATTGACATCATAGAAAATCGAAAGATTTATTTTCATATTGAATTTATGTGGATCAAAATTATTTAATTAATAGATGCAGTTAGCTCCTCAAAAAGATCTTTTACCAACGCTTTTTAAGTTTTAAAAAAACTAGTAACTCCCAAATCAATGTTGATGCTACTGAGTGGATTGCAATTTTCAATTATCAAGAGTCCATATTTATGTCTTCCTTAAATGGGTTATATATTCTAACAAAGTTGAGACAAAAAAAAAAAAAAAAAAGGAAATGACCAAATAAAAATTGGATTGCCACAATAGAGAGAAGACACAATTAATTTTGCCAATTTTCCTAGCATATTCAAGTCCTATCATTAATCAAAGATTCACAAATTATCTTATTTATAATTTTTTTTTTTTTTTTTTTGGTAAACAATAAACTACAACGACCAAAGAATGAAAAATCGACACGTGTTCATGCACTTTGCCGACCTCGACTGTATCTTGACGAACGGCTAAATGAGAGGAGCGTCGTCTGCGATGACCCACACGTGTGCAAACATAACCTGAAAAAAGCGGGCTGTCTACACGTGGGGGAGACAAGGCCAGAATGAAATCCCATAGTTTAACTCTTTTCATCTGGCGGTGATTTTTATTATTCTTAATCTAGAGTTTAGGAAATTAAACAAACTAGCATCGTTAAACACAACAATTTAGACCACAAGTTGTTTAGATATATGAGGGATTAAATGTGTCTCTAAGGTCAAGGACAGGTGGTTAATAAGTGAAGGAGTAGGTAAAGATACAGGAACAGAGTGACAGGTTGTTCCCTGTCTTCCTCTGGGCGATGGAACCGATAGCCTGTTGCCTTTCGACACCCATGCATATATGTCACTCTGCTGAACCTTTCCGTGTCTTCACAATGCCATGTTTTGAAGGGAAACGTTAGGTATAGACAGCAAAATCTTTGGCTTCCTTTCATAATTAGATGCAGGACCAAAAGAGTTGGTTGGTTGTGTCATTATTTGCGGTTTCTAATTTAAAGGAAGATTAATTTGAAGATAAAAAATACTTATAGAGGACGAAGTGCATCATAGACTCTGTATAAGAAAAGTATCATACTTCTCCATGTGACCATAGGCCCACTACTCATGTTTACAGAAGCATTAAATTAGTGCAAGCAAATCACTGGAGTATATATTTACAACCTCAAAAGATGACATATATATATATATATAATGCAACCACCAAAGAGAGAGATTGTGAGAGACCTCAAAGCCCACAAATCCACACTTTTTTCTTGCATTATGAATCATAATTGAGTTTCCTATGTTCTGGACACTCAAAAACATATGCTTTCTCTTTTTGTGAACTAAAGGCGATCTCGATGCATTGAAACTATATTTCAGTGCATGAATGTGCTCACCGTTTCTTTTGGGAACCCTTCTTTGCAAGATAATTAGCTGCATTCTTCCATAGTTGAAGGAAACATAGCTTGTGGACTCTTCATAGATTAACACATTAATTTATTTATTGTGAAAGAATAACACATTTAATTAACAACCTTTTTAAGCGCATTAGCTCCCTTAATCACCAGAGTTTCAATCTTAAGTTAGATAGTAATTAGAAATAGTTTTGTCAATCCAAAGAGATGAATTTAATCATAATATGCAAAAGGTTTCTTTGAAAACTACATCAAAACTAGAAAATTTGTAACTCAAATTATATAGTAATTAACAAGCCAACCTCCTACACTTTAACTTCACACTCTTTGTTTTGCTTTTTGTTCTTTTTTTTTTTTTTTCCCTTCACTTCCTCTACATTGTTTGTCTTAATTACTGGTCTTGTCTTTTTCGTTTTTGCTAACTAAGAAATGCATTTCTTAAGGGTAAACCCTTTTCTGATTAGAGACAGAATTACACACAAACGAGAAGAGCTCGGAACTTGCATAAATTTGTAATACGGATTAATTAGGAACCCTTTTCGGTTGGAACGGCAATAAAATTGGCCATTTGCACCTTAATTAAGGTTTCATGAGAATGAAAACGCAGGAAAAGGGAATGTACCTTGTTGGTTCTTTGCTGTTTAATTGTTTATTGTTTATCTTAATCCTCTTGTTTACATGCTTTTGTCTCGTAGCTTTGATGGGTACCACACAGTGGCAAAATTATTGAACACACAAGTTTCTTGTTTAAAAAAAAAAAAAAAAAAAAGAACAGAAGAAAAAAAAATTATTGCATTTTTTTTTTGTCAATCTCATTGTAATTTTTTTAATTTGTTATTAATTGATTGGGTCAATTTACAACCAATAAGGGATTATGATTTTAATTTAATATATATTGCTGCACGAATTTTATAATATTTAAGGAGTAATTGATGTAAGTCACTCCATAGAAAAGAGATTAAAAAAAAAAAAAAAGAAGAAGATAAATATGAGAGATAAAATTTAAAAAAAAATTGAGCTAAGGTGAAAATTCTTTTATCACTTTTGATAAATTCGGATGTGATTCTTTCTTTTTTATATATCTATCTTTCTCCTAAAAATGAACTCATAAAATAACTACTCCGTATATATATATATATATATATATACTAGTTACTTTTGAATAGTATAAAATTTCTTGTCTATATTTCTATTTTGTGTCAATACTTATATGTCAATTTGTGGTTTTTCGGTTAATATTTCGAGTTTGAATTCAATGAGAAACTCGAATTCAATGATAGAATTTTATAAAAAGATTTCCACATCTAATATTCTAGGTATAGATGGATGCTTGAAAAAAAATTCTCTCTCTTTAAAAATAAACTCATGAAGCACATATATATATATATATATATATATATATATATATATATATATATAAAATTTACTTTTGAGCATTATAAAATTTATCATCTGTAATTCTATTTTGTATCAAGGAGAGAATTCAATGAGAAACTCAAATTCAAATGAGAGAGTTTTGTAAAAAGATTTCCACATATTGATGCTTGAAAAATCCTCTAGAAAAGGAATTTATTTTTGATGTGCCTCGGCCATTCAAAAACTGCTTTGAAATAAGAGAAGATAAGATGCCTGATCTTTTTTTTTAAAAAAAAAAAAAGTCTCTACTACACATCCTTCAAGCACCCTCCCTCCCTGTATTTTTGAAAAGTTCATTCACCAGTTACTATTCACATTCTCAAAAAAAAAAAAAAAAAAAAAGGTTAAAATTGACATTCGATTCTAATATACAAATAATTGCATCACATGTAAATCTAAAAAGTTATATAACTAAGTTATAATTATTGCAGGCGAGGAGTGTTAACGTTAACGTCAGTACGTTCCTCATTTAAACCCGACCGTTTACTAGAATAAGTCTTCCGTACCACGTGGCATGTTTTGTATGAGCGTATACAATCAGGCAACGGATACATTTGTTTCTAAGGTCTATGACTTCTTTCTCCTCGCAGCAATGGATTGTATTTACAACTGTTATATCCTTGCAAAATAGACGGTTTAAATTCAATATCTATTTTTAAGAAAAGTTTGGTATATGGCCATTTAAATTCGGTCATTACCTGTATTATATCTATTTTTAAGAAAAGTTTGGTATATCGCCTTTTAAATTCGGTCATTACCTGTATTTACAATTATTACTTTTCTTAAAATTAATATCCATTTTTTTAATGTTCAGACGGAATTTTCTGAAAATTAAATTTATCCTTTTTTTTATAATTGTACTGATGTTGAGGTTTCATTAAAAATGATCTATTCCTTAACACCATAGTATGGTGTACTATACACACTTACATGTTACAATATAACTTGAATGCTCGATCGAATTGAAATTGCCACAATTAACCATGTAATGGAATAAAATCAATCCTAATAAAAAGAAATGGTTGACTTGGTGATAGAAAATGCACTAGATTGAAAGGCAGCAAACCCAAAAGCCAAAAAGGATACGAGAGAGGATTTTTTATTTTATATCTAATATTCCTCAATTTTTTTTTTTTTTTTACCCTTTCCCTTTGATGGTTCGAGTAATTTTTTTTATAACACTTATAAGATTCAATTTTTTAAAATAATAACATTATTAGTAAATTCACCTGCCATTCAAATTAAGTTTCTAATAATAGGATATCGTCTTTCATATATATATATATATCATTAGCTATTTTTCTGACTTATTCAAGGATTTTAAAACTTTTAATAGACGAATTGAAGTAACTAATAATTTACATACAATTCATATGGAAAAAATATAACAAAGAAATGAACACACATTTTACAGAACTATGGAAGACGTTCCTATTACCTCATTATCCATGAATGGACAACACTTTCTGGTCATTTTCTAGGAGCATGAAATCTTCTTTTCTTTTTCTTTTTTCTTTATTTCCTCCAGAAAAGACAAAAAAAAATGCAAAAGAAAAGAAAAAAGAAATGTGAAGGATATTTTTAGTAAACATCACTCCGAGTCCTTAAGCTCCTTCGATGAACCTGCAAGCTACAAACACAAGCACTTTCTCTCAAAAGAACTTAACAAACAACCGTCAAAAAAGTTAACGTCGTCCTTCAAAACAAGGGACATTGTCCGTCAAAGACGTTGGGTCAAACATTTCTATAAAGCTAACGGCTACATTCCTGCTTTATCTTCTCTCGTCTCTGCCTCTGTCTTCCCCTATTATCACCGGAGACAAATTTACCGTTATTGGTTGATAAAACCTCGGCGAAACAAACGCTTCTCACTTCCAATCTTGGCAAATTGGAAAAAAAATTGGAGCTTTGCTAATCGATCATCCAAAAAAGACTCCATTTTTAAGCTCACTTCCTTTGCCTATTCACCTTTGATTCTTTCCTTTTTGGTAAGAATCCCATTATCTATTCTATCTGGTTTTCATTTTATTTTTTGGGGTAATTTGAGGCCTTCAACATTGATACAACTCTTTAACATGCTACAATCTGATAAACCCAGAAGCTGAAAAGATCAAAGAAGTTTTTCTTTTTCGGCTTCTGGGTTTACTCAATAAACCCCACTTCTTTCAGTGGATTTTAGATTCAAAGTTTGAATCTTTTTTCACGTAGAATTTGTTGGATCTTGTACAGACAGGGAGAGAGAAAATGTCTGTTGTGGATGTTGGTTTGAGTCCGATTTTTGAAGAATCGGGTCATTTTCTTCCTGGTTATTGGGGTCAAAAGGGACCGGTAATTGAGGATTCATCGATTCTAATATATATCAGTGTGGGTGGTTCTTCAATTCCTATGAGGGTTTTCGAGTCTGATTCTATAGCTGCAGTGAAGCTAAGGATTCAGACAAGTAAAGGCTTTGTAGTGAATAAACAGAAATTAGTTTATGGAGGGAGGGAATTGGCTAGAAATGATTGTCTTGTTAAGGATTATGGGGTCACTAGTGGCAATGTTTTGCATTTGGTTCTCAAGCTCTCGGATCTCTTGTTTATCATTGTAAGGACCAACTGTGGAAAGGAATTTGAGTTTCATGTGGATAGGTATAGGAATATTGGGTACATAAAGCAACGGATATTTAAAGAAGGGAAAGGATTTGTTGATGTTGAGGAGCAACAGATCTTTTATAACGGCAAAAAGCTTGATGATCAGAAAATTGTTGATGATATATGCGATGATAGTGATGCTGCCATTCATTTACTGGTTGAAAAATCTGCCAAAGTGAGGGCTAAGCCTCTGGAGAAGGATTTTGAGATTTCGGTAGTGGCAGCGAAATCCACCGAGAAAAGAGATGGATCGATAGCTGGAGGACATAATCGATCTGAAGAGGTTTCTGTTCTCTCTAGGGAGCAATCTGGTAGAAATTTCTTGTTGGAACCTGTTATTGTTAACCCTAAGGTGAAGTTGAATTCAGTTTTTTGGAATATGATTGACTCTACATTTGATGGATTGGAGAGAGGTAATGCACCCATCAGATCTTCTGAGGGAACAGGAGGGACCTATTTTATGCAGGATCCATCAGGTCAGGAGTTTGTATCTGTTTTTAAGCCTGTCGATGAGGAGCCTATGGCTGTGAATAATCCCCAGGGGCTGCCCGTGTCATCCAATGGTGAAGGATTAAAAAAAGGGACAAGGGTAGGAGAAGGAGCGGTGAGAGAAGTAGCAGCTTACATATTGGATCATCCAAGGAGTGGTCCGCGGGCAGTAACAGGAGAAGTTATGGGCTTTGCTGGTGTACCCCCTACGGTCATCGTTCAATGCTTGCACAAAGGATTTAACCATCCAGAAGGGTTTGAAAATGCTATGGAGTACGCCAAAATAGGGTCTTTACAGATGTTTATGAAGAACGAGGGGAGCTGTGAGGACATTGGTCCTGGGACTTTTCCAGTGGAGGAGGTGCACAAGATCAGTGTGTTCGATATAAGAATGGCCAATGCAGATAGGCATGCTGGAAATATATTGATCAGCAAAGGGGAGGATGGTCAGACAGTACTCGTTCCAATTGATCATGGTTATTGCTTGCCTGAGAAAGTAAGTATTTTCTGTTATAATTCTCGTGATTAAATAATTTGCCCTACTATTCTCTGCTTTGATATGATATTCTTTCTCATTTATGCTTTGCTAGTAATTACTGCCTGTGATGAATTTATTTCAAAGATATGCTCCATAAGCATTGGAGAAAATAAGGTTCAGAGTGGCTTTGGTTTGATCAATTTATCAGCAGATTCAGCTAATATCGATTTTCAAACCCATTGATGGAGTGGTCTTTCCACACCGGCAAGTCATTGCTGCACTGTATTAGACATTTTGCATGCCCTACTTTGTTAGACATTTCTGTTGTAGTCCCTTTACATGACTTGCGTTTTAAGTATAGGTGAAACTTTTAGCACAGAAGGATAAAAAATTGTTGCGAAGAAAGTGATTACTGTAGTTTATCATGGGGTAAATAATTAAGACACATGAACTACATATCTTACACACATATATCTCTTCAGGAGCGTCTCTGAAGGTCTTCAACTCATCTTAGCTTTTGCTCCTTTTCAGTTTGAAGATTGCACATTTGACTGGCTTTACTGGCCGCAAGCCCGCCAGCCGTACCCACCAGAAGTTGTTGACTACATAAACTCTCTGAATGCTGAACATGACATTGCACTACTGCAATTCTATGGATGGAATATTCCTCTTGAGTGTGCCCGCACTCTTCGTATCTCAACTATGCTTCTGAAAAAAGGGGTAGAGAGAGGTCTCGCTCCTTTTGCCATTGGAAGCATCATGTGTAGAGAGAACTTGAACAAGGAATCTGTGATTGAGGAGATTGTTCGTGAAGCAGAAGATTCCCTGCTCCCTGGTATGAGTGAAGCTACATTTCTCGAAGCTGTCTCCAATATCATGGACTACCGACTTGATGAGTTCACCAATAATTTCCGTTCAGGCAATGGATTCTCCAAAGGAATCTTCATCTAGTTAAAAGTTATAACGTATAATTTAAATTACTAGTCCATTTTTGGATGGACTGTAACGTGGATGGCTTATCTTGGTCATGAATGAGCCTAATACTTTGAATTTTCTTTCACTTCTGTCAACGTTGTTTGGGATATTGTACTGGGATGGTAACCAGAAGTTTAAAAGTATGAATAACAAGTGTTAAGCTTAGATTATATAGATTGCAGGAATGTTGAGGTCTTGTGTACATAAATATTGGTCCCAACCGAGGTGAGCCTACGTTGAAGGCCACCCAGAAATTTGTATTTTTGTTTAGGTTTGTATTCAATAAACAAAGAAAAGTTGTTTGGGATATTGTACTGGGATGGTAACCAGAAGTTTAAAAGTATGGATAACAAGTGTTAAGCTTAGATTATATAGATTGCAGGAATTTTGAGGTCTTGTGTACATAAATATCTATCCAAGATGAGAGTAGGTTGAAGGCCACCCAAAAATTTGTATTTTTGTTTAGGTTTGTATTCAATAAACAAAGAAAAAGTGAGATCGGAAGAACACGAATAAAGCATCTTTGTGTTTTTAGATATTTGCCATCATGTTTGACGAGTTCTTGAATTTCGGAAGTATGCCGAGGTGGTTTTTTCTTGGTGTTAGTAAGTAATTTTTGCTCCCAATTTATTTTTTTAATTTTTATTGCAAAATATCAAAACATGATAAAACAAAACAAAATGTTAAATATGAAAAAAATAAAAATCAAAAATCAAAGCAATTGAAATAATTAGGTTAGGAGGGGGCTAATCAAACAATATAAAAAGTTTAGAAATAAAAAAAGAGATAATTGAGGGCTCAATTAAAGAATTCAAAGCTATAATTCCTTTTTTAAATTAAAGAGGGGCACAATTAGAACAAATTAAAAAGAAATGTCCTAATTAATTTAAATTTAAGGGCTTTATCAAAACAAAAATTAAACTCAAATTGATAAGTGGTAGAGCATGGGAGATCAAAACAACCATCGTCAAAAAACCTATATATAAAACCCCCATCCATTTTTTTATACCATCCACTATTTTACCATCACCTTCACAAAAACCCTTCCAGCCAACACCATCCCCTCCGGTCATCCTTTTGCTCCTTTTCTTTCCTTGACAAAAACCACCATAACCACCCTACAAACACTCATTTTCCTCTCCGACATCCATCCTCCACCAAAGCTATTGTTCATCTCTCCCAACATTTCCAGGCACCTCCCTCTCCCATGGTCATTGTTCATCTCTCTCCTACACTCCTATTTTTTAGCCGACTACAACTCCCACACAAACCACACCTTATACCCATACACAAGCTTCCCCATACCGAAACTTCTTCCTCACCAAGCCCTCATCTCTCACAATGACCACAACTCAAAAACGACCTTTTACCCTTCCTTGCCTCCTCCACTCGTCCTATCCATACTCCACCAATGCCCCACTCGTCCACCCCTAGCTCCGAGCCTCTCATACACACCACAGCCCCCCATGCCGGACCTCTTTCGCTCGCGCCCCTAGTTAAGCCAAACCGTACACCACAGCCCCCTCATGTCGAGCCTCTTGCGTGCACTCCCTTAGGCCGGACCGTAAGCCACAGCCGTTGCATGCTAGTGCCTCTTACGACCTCCCACAACCAGTCGACAGCAATTAGCCCTTTGTCTTCTCCTCTCGACCCGGCCGCGATCCGTGTGATTTTTGTATCATTTTCCTATTTTGTGATGTTCACTGCGTAGTGTGTGTGAGGCCTTATGGGATGCATATCGGGTAACCTAGCTAGTTATCATTTATTTTCTTTAACATATATTAGAACGTATTATAAAGTGAAACAAATTATTTAAGGGGTGGAGAGTGCCGAAATGCGGGAAAAAGTCAAAAAATATAATAATAATAATAATAATAATAATAAAATAATAATAATTTGTAGGAATGTCGAAAATTTTAATTCCCAAGGAAAATATCTCCTAGAATATCCATAATTATCTATTGGATATGGGTGTAATTTATGAGACATTTATCTTTTATATTTTATGGTCTTAAAGGATCTAATGTTCATGGAAGTATTTAAAGAAATAACCTTTTTGGGTATTTAGCTAGTCATTATTTATTTTTCCCATAACAAATATCTAAAAGACTATGCAAGTGAAAGAATCTTCCAAACATGGTGCATGGACCAAAATTTTAGAAACTAAATGACCTTAAGAAGTTGGTTAATTTAGTTACCTTTAGTTACCTTTTTTTTTAGTTCCAATGTGGATACATAATCCTCCACCATGTTTCAATTTGTGCCACCTCACCTTTTTGAAAGTCAAACACGCCACTTGCCTCCCCCTTGTCTCCATCATTTGACATTTTCTACCACGAACTCTTGACACATGTCATATTCATTAATGAGAGAAAAAGTGGTATAAAAGTGTAAGAAAGATATCAACTTTGTCATTTTTGTTGAGACAAAGCCGTAGCTACTAAAGAGAAAGAGAGAAACGGACTTGAGAGGGGAGAGAGACGAAAAAGAAAGAAAAAAAAAGAAAAAAGAAAAAGAAAAGGGAAAGTCTAGCTAATCTTTAGGAAAGCTAAAGCAATGTAAATAGGTTCTTGTTAATTTATGTTATGCTCTAAATTTCTTGTATCTATGCTTAAATGAGGTGGTTGGTGAAGGTTTTTATTATGTTGTTTATGTTGGTTTATGTTGATTATGTTTATAATATGTGTTAGATGGCTTGATGTCCATTTAGTGGGGAGCTTTATGGTTGGTTTGTACATGTGTGATGATGGATGGTTGGTATGTTGATGTATCCATATGAGATCTATGTGTGATGTATGTTTAAATGTGTGTGGATGGGTTTGTTTTGGATGAGTTTGGTTAAAGCAAAATGTGCTTAGATTTCTTTAGGAAAGCATTCGGCCTAGGTACCAAAATGGCCAAAGTTTAGATTTATTTTATGGACCTAAAGATCTAGACCTCCAAGATAACCCACTTAAGTATAATTTAGTAAGTTAGAATGAAAAGAATCGACTTAGAAATAAAAGACAATCCTTTGCCCTTTTTGGACCCATTCGACCTAAAACCCAAAAATTTGGGTTTTGAATTCCACTCGTCCAATTTGTGAATCAATGGTTCAAATACACCTAAATAAGTATAAAATGAAGTGTAGAAAGGTTAAATTCTAAGAAAAATGAAAATTTCGGCTTAGACTAGGAAGCAATCGGCCTAAACCCTCCATTTTAGAACTTGAGTTCCAAGCATCCAACCCCGTAATGATGGGCTAATTACACCTAAATAAGTATAAAATGAAGTGTTAGAAGGAAAATAATGCAAGAAAAATCAAAATTTAGACCTAGATCTAGTAGAAGCAAAATTCAACTATTAAGGCTCAATTTCATGCTAGGAGGGAAATCCCACTTCAAATACGCTCAACACATTCTTAGGACTCAATTACGTAAATTGATTAACCCTAATAAGTGGGTCTTGTATTCCTTGTGTGACTATGATGTTTCAAATATGGTATGAAATAAAGGGTTTGGTACCCATTGTTTGGTGAAACGTGGTAAACAAAACATCACGTGCATCATATGCATTTGGAGGTGGTTTGACTTAAGAAAAACATTTGAGTCGAGAAATGATAAGGTTCGAGTAATTAACTTGGTTTGGAAATTGAATAGGTTTGGTAACCTAATTAGATTAAATGGATATTAGCAAGGAAGTCGTGTGTGTGCTCTATTAATTGATTATACCGTTAGATGATGGATAATTTCACTAACCGTGTCCTACAACGAGGGATAATTCGTTTCTAGCAATAGGTGATTTGGTAATCACCGAGGAATGAGAATAAAGCGGACTTGCTAATACCTAGGGTATCCAAATTAAAAATCAAAAGGGAAAGGCTAAGTGATAGGATTGCATTGCATCTCACATGCATCACCCTACTTACCGAGCTTCGGCCTACATTGTTATTATTTCATGCCATAACGAGTAAAAACAATGGTAGTGCTTGATAAAAAAGTCTGTCGGTTCCTCCCAAAAAGGACTCATATGTGATACGAGAAATATAGGATACACTTTTGCTTATAATTACGGGATATGGTGTCTAGTAATGAGTAAATAACACCGTAAATATTTTATGATGTTTGTAAATTTTTTATATTTTCTTTCTTGGCTTTGTTGTATGGAGTAATTTAAGACTTTAGTCCCTAAACCGTAACGCACCTAGCCATGCCTTTTTGGTAATTGGTAAGGGAGTTTGGGGTGTCACACGGTTAGCCTTTTTAAGGAAAAAAAGAAGAACAAAAAGAACAAAACTTGTTATGGCATTGTTTGTGTTTTGATAAGAAATATACAAACAAAAGCCTCTTTGAATTTTAGTAAACTTTGTAATAAATTTTGTAGCAGTTGTGTCATCAACCATCCGCACAAATTTCGGAGGAGTTTTTGGTCATTCTAGTATGACTTGCACCATACGTTATCAACAAGTAGTCACTCTCATTTTCTAGTTAATCGAATATTCGGTTATCATCGAAATGAAGAGAGTAAGATCGACTCCAAATCGGACATCAAAATTATAGGATTTTTGGATAAAAAATGCTAAAATCACTACACTTTTAAAATATAATAAAAATGAAAAATGACTGGATTGCTTAAAATGTGAATAAAAATATGACATCCAATTTTAACATTCATAGATTAAATATGGTTGAAATAAATAATGCTTATAATTAGCCATTCTAGATAAACTATGTTGTTTTATCGTTATACATGTTTGCCTAAATGTGAAGTTTGTCTTATTTTTAAGGGTGATTGACTACCTTAAGTCTAATTATGTGAATGAAAATGTTGCATTTATTTTTAAATATTCAAGGTTTGAATGTGGATTGAAGCTAAAACCATTAAAAGATAAATTACATTATTTTATTATTTTATCCTGTATGTCTAAATATGAAGTCTATTGTATTTTTATGGTTTATTGGCTAAATGTGGTTGATTGCAATGTGGAAGCAAAGCCACTTGGTGGATTTCGAATTCATTTTATTTGTTTTTTGTTCCTGTTTTTTGTTTTGTGTTTCCTGTTTCTTGTTTTTCTTTCTTGTTTCCTATTTTTTCTTTCTTTTCATCAAAATAAAGTTGTCGGTAGCTTCTCACTTATGTGACGAAGTTATTGGAGGGTTTCGGAATCATTTTATCTCGTTTTTGTGCATGTTTCTTGTTTTTCCTACTTTTTTTCTATCCTTGTTTCTTATTTTCTATTTTCTATTTCTTATTTCATCAAAATGAAGTTGTCGATAGCTTCTCACTTATGTGATGAAGCTATCGAAGGGTTTCAGAATCATTTTATCTATTTTTTGTACCTAATTCTTATTTTGTGTTTTCCTCGTTTTTTGTTTTTTATTTTTTTTATTTCATCAAAAGGAAGATGTTAATAACTTTTCACTTATGTGATTAAGCCACTAGTGGTTTCGAAGTATTTTTTATTTTTTATTTTTATGTTTGCTTATTTGAAACGAAGCTATTAGTGGCTTCCTACTTGAGTGACGAAGTTATCGATGGTTTCCAAATTGATCATTTTTTAGCAACATAAAATTGCCGGTGGCTTTCCACTTCGTGATGAAGTTGTCAATAACTTTTTAAATTCATAACTCGAAGTCATCGATGGCTTCCCACTTGTGTGAGTGAGGTCATCGATAACTCGATATTCATGCCAATAAAAGGCTATCCATGTATAAAAACTCACCTATTTATCGGTAATAGGTCGTGTTCACTAATGACTAACTAAAATTCTAACTTCCCTTACCTTTTTCTTTTAAGTATGAGGCATTGACCTTAGACCGACTTGAATCCCCGAATTATCTTGTTTTACGAGTCGACCTATTTTGTTTCATATTTTTATAAAATAAACTCATCTAAATAGGCATAAAATCATAACATAGTAAAAACTAGATTTTTATGTTTATAGGTAAACAATACAGATTCTACCTTAGATAGGACGGGATGGTGATGATGTCATATCTTTTCCATGCATAATCGAACCTTTATCTAGATATCTACATAGATTGGTATGTTTAGGATTTCCTAATTCTTCTCGATTAGCTAGGTAACGACTCCTTGTTATGTCCCTCTATTGATAAAGTCACGGACTTAGATCTATACGCCAAATGGGAAGTCAAAGATGCCCAACTCATGACATGGATTCTCGAATTCGTCGAATCCAACCTCGTCTTGAACCTTCGACCTTTAAAAATGCTATTGAGATGTGGACTTACCTCAAGAAGGTCTACGGTTAAAATAACACTCGCTCGTCGATTCCAGTTTGAACTTATTTTGGCCACTCTTCAACAGGATAGTCATTCTATCTCCGAGTTTTACTCTATCTTCATGAATCTTTGGGCTACATATACTAACATTGTATATGCTACCTTACCTCCCAAAGGTCTTAATTCTATTTAATTAGTTCATAAAACTACTAAGCAAGCTCGGTTTCTTATGAAACTAAGACTCGAATTTGAAGGCATCCGATCCAATATTATGAATCGAGAGCCTATCCCTTTCTTAGATGCAAGCCTCAATGATTTGTTTTGTGAGGAATAATACCTCCTTACATAAACCATAATGAAAGAGCATTTTTTCACTTTTTCCTTTGTTCCTAT